TTCTAATGCCAACAGTAAAGCTACAACTTCAAACAATAATTCTTCATCCCCTACCAACATACACCCAATCCATAATGATTGCCCCAAAACCCCTTCTCTATACAATTCTCCCTCTCCATCTTTCTCACCCCTTTCCGCAACTACTTCTCCGACCACTATAACCCGTTCCACAACTTCACCTGTACCCTCCTGCCATCCACAATCACATACCCTAGTATCCATAGATACATAATTCTAGATATTAAATTCCAATTAAAACTTACATTTTTCATACATATACAGTTTAATTTTCTTTATTTTTTCTATGTTAACTTTTCTTCAATGGCATATTAACGGATACATTAATAACTACTTTCAACTTGAAATTTTATTTAAAAAATATAACCCCTCTGTAATATTATTAAACGAAACACATATTGCAAACAATATATCAGCTTATCTACCAGAAACACACCTTTCATTTAACTCCGCAACTGCTGTATCCAAACAATACGCTGCCTATTTCTCCAACTTAACACAAAATCATACTAACAAACAAGGTGTTGCTACTTTAATAAAAAAAGACTTCCCACACAAACTTCTTCCAACAATTTCTACAATAGCAATAGAAATATTTATTGGATTTAAAATAACCATCCTTACAATTTACATTCCACCATACCAAAAACTTAATATCAAAGAACTACGCGATATAATCGGTCCTATCCAAACACCCGTACTTATACTTGGCGATTTCAATGCCTGGAGCCCTCTTTGAGGTTCCACATGTAATAACCAAAGAGGTAAAATCATAGAAGACCTTTTCTTAGCAGAAAACTTGACAATTTTAAACGACGGTTCTCCTACGCATTTTTCTACACATAATTCGTTCACGAATGTAGATCTGGTCATTTGTTACTCTGATATCGCCCCCAAACTTAACAGCCAGACACTAACTGATCTCTATAACAGAGATCATTTCACCATTATAACCCACTTATCAAGCCCTTTACCCAGAAAAGGGTCGGCGAAGCCAAAATTTCTGTTGGACACGGCAAATTGGTCCAAATTTCAACTACTTTGCGAAAACTTGTCTGCTGCAAGTCCCATAAACGATAATATTAATAAAGAAAGAGCTACGATTACCAAAATAATCACAACTTCTGCTCACCTATTTATCCCCCAAACGGGTAAAAAAATCTTCAAAAATCATGTATCTTATTGGTCTACGGAGTTATCTAAACTTAGAGAAGAAAAACAATCACTATGGTTAATTTACAAAAGA